CTTGGTACTGTTAGACGAGATTCACCAACTCCTTGCTAAAGGAGCTGGTGAATCTCGTCTAACAGTACCAAGGAAGTCGGAGTATAGCGGATAGGATTCGGTGATGGCACAATGTCGAATTCGATTCCATATCCGTGCTGAATGATAGATAACACCCACCCATCAGATGTGATGGACTCCCAAATGGAGAGCCGACTCTTCAGTCGATCCCCAAATGAGAGGGGGGAGGGTAGAGTTGGAATGAGAGGAGAGGTTCGCTCGTCGCATCAGCGCTGTTGCCTGTCCGTATCAAAGTGGCGGCGGCCCTGTTGGAAGCGCTGGGGTGGTTGTTGCCTGCGATGCTGCTGACGTTGATGCGGTTGCTGTTGCCGAGGCGGAAATTGTTGTTGGTACTGTGGATGTGCCCATGACCACCTATGTCGGGGTAGAGATTGCAATTCCATACGACGGGCCGTCATCCTTGATTCATGGATTTTCTTCAATTTGCTATCCGTCCTCTCATGGAAGAGACCGGAACTGTCGAACGGCATCTCCTCAATTCTCCGCTTCATCTCGTCCGGAAAATTGCAGTTACACAACCAGGCGTGTCTGCGGAGGGAAATGGCACCGACCAGCGACCTCGAATCAGAGTCCACGTGGTGCCTCGCGGTGGAAAGCTGTTGCACCGCCACTTGCATAGCTGCCTTAACAAAAGTCTTAGCAAGTTCGCCCTGGTTTCCCGGGAGGGTATCGATGATGGCATCCAGGTGTTGCATAAGGAAATACTGGTAACGCGCCAGGGTTGCCTCATGATTAGAAATTCGTAAACCAAGGCCCGAAGCTGCGTATACCCAGCGGGCAAGGGAATCAACCTTTCTGCCCTCTTTGTCATGAGGCGAGGTGTGTCCACGGGCTTCCCAACCCTGCGAGGATTCTACAAAAACCGAATTCAGCTTGGGGTGATGGAGAAGAAATGGGATGTGTTCTTCCCACACCCGATACATGGACTCGTATTTACGAGAAGTTGGTTGTGGGTGAGCTGGGAGGTCCCATGGCTGGGTCACTGCCTGCCGTAAGGTCGTAATAAACGGCAAGGCAATAGATGTGGGTCGTTCGCCCCTGACCACATCATAAAAACGATCGGTGCTTGGTCCCGGCTGTTGGTGGACTTCTATATCGAGCGATCTCACTAGTCTGGCCATCAGATCGTTAAACGATAGATACGGTTCCTCGGGCGACCCCAGGCCCTGAGAAGCAACCGCTGAATTCGGCGAGGTCGAGTCAGCCTCAGACTCGTCGGATTCCATCCAGTAGTGGGGTGGTACACTGGAGGAAGAATCTCCTGGTGACTCTGATCTGCCACTTTCTTTAGATGGGGCCCTCGGGGCGTCTCTGGGCGTTGAATGGAAATGTTCCCGAGGCGCTGGTGGCGAAGATTGTCCCCTGGAGGTCGGATAATAGGCTACGGAGTGGTACTCTTCCCGTCTCGGAGCGGAGGAGTACCTGGAGTGGTACCAATCATCAGACCTCGCATCCGAGGAATGGCTCCTACAGCTTCTCGGAGGGGAGATGGCGATCTCGGTATCCATCGGGATCGGAGGCATCGGGGTTGGTGATTGAGCTCTAGGTGGAGAATCTCGTATTTCCCCATCAGAGATGGAACCACGCCTTGAATCCAGAATGGGTTCGGCTGTCAGTCGGCGCGGTGAGCCCGGTGGGGTAACCCTCATAGCCGCCTGGATGTTCAGGACCGAGGGGCTGCCGGTTCCGAAGCAGGGCTCGGAATCGAGGAAGAGGCCGAGCCCGAGTGGCGGTGTTTTGCCTGCTCGGGGTTCTTCGGCTTCTTAACCGGCTTGCCCGGCTTATCTTTCTTGGCCTTCTTATGCACAGGATATTTATCTGAGTCGCTGTGCTTTCTTTTTTCCTTTTGTTTCCTTGGCAGGGAAACGGACTGGTCGGCCATGGTATGAGCGCCTTCTTCAGAAGGGCATGAGGGCGGAGCAATGGAGGAAGAGTCCAGGTGTTGCGGCAGGTCAGCTGAAGTTGGACGGCCTTCGGGTGGGGCCACAACAGTGGAAGGCTTAGCCACCAGCCGGTCCGATTGGAGGTCCCATAAGAGTTTGCGGAGGCGGTTCTCCCTGTTCTTCCTCGCCTGTTTAGAGAAGGCCAAACAATGGCTGCACTTATCGGTTCTGTGCCCTTCCCCCAAACAAAGGAGGCACAGATCATGCGGGTCCGCGGTGGGCATTTTGGAGCCGCATTTTCCGCACTTGTGGAACACCGCCTGTTGCGCCATCATAGAAAGAAGAAAAAAGGAGATAGTAAAGCGGGAAAGTAATATTTTTGGGGTTTTTTTTTTTTTTTTATAGGAACGATAAAGAGGAAAAAATGGTGCTAAGTAAAGAAGAAATATAAGTGAAGTACTAACAACAAGAACAAGGGATACAAACTTGGTAGGAAAAAGGAGAGATTTTCGAACAAGCAAGAAGGTAAGTAGTAATCTGAGCGAGAGCGAAGCGGCACGAGGCACAACGAACGGCGGTCGCAAAGACTGGAAAATGGCGGACATTCCGCTCCTTATATAATGCTAGGGGGGAGGGGGAGCGGAGTTCCCGCCAAAAACCGTTAGCTGTTAATCTTCCGGCCAAAGGCACCGCGCAGGCGCAGAACGCATATGTGTGATGCACAGAGGCCACGACGAAGAAATTGTGCAATCTATACTTTGCAGCAACTTATTTGTACTGGAACTGCATCTGCTGCTCCCAAGCTGTTACTCCAGAGCAAGTGTGACCCCTGCATTGTCAACTCTATGACATCGTCTTGTCCTGACATGGGATAAATCCAAGTCCCATAGTTGAAGAGGCACAACACGCCCAATAATTCTTCTTATTAAGATGTCAGCCTCCCATCTCGGGACATATTAACTCCCATCTGTTCCAACAGGCATTTGCCAGAGGAAATGGATGGAACAACTTCTGTTGTAAGGAGCTGTCATCGTTTAAATATCTTAGATCATTTCAAGGATATGTCTATGATTTTATATTTGGCATTTGTTAGCATTTTCTTTACGTTGTTTCACAGTTTAGAGCTTTAGTTAAGAGAAAAAGAGGTTGAGAAACAAAATTTCTTACACGTATAATCACTTGGGATCTGAGCTTCAGTTGTCAGGCTTCGTGGTAGCTCCGTATCCATAGTTACAAAAGTACAAAACATCTTCTAGACAATGTAACATTCAGAATTTAATTGCATGGAGTGGGGAACCAAGCAAGTCTTTTTCTTTCCTTCTTGGACAGTGCACATTTAACATTGGCTTCCCCAAGACATTAAGAGATAAGTGCTTACAGAGTCCCAGAAATATTTGTGTTATTCCCAAAGGCCTACCAGGTAAATAAATAATGGTAAAATAAAGATTGCCAAAATAATGCATGCCCCCAAATCCAAAGCTAGGAAGAGCAAGGGAGAAAGAGTGCTTCCCAGTGGAAAACTCCACTTGAGCGGTCCTTGCCCTAATCACATCACTATATTTAGGATGTTGAAATGGGGATGCAAGAAGATGTTTCTCAGTGCGGAAGTGAATATGACAAAGTTCTGGGAAGGAACAGAGAGCACACGACTTGAGGCCAAGGAGTACAACAATGAGCATGCAGGGCAAAAATAACTTGGAAAAGCAGACTGCATGGAGTCCATATCCTACACATACACTGGTTGCTGGGAGAAGGGCCCGGTCGCCTGTAAGGGTGGCAAATTAACCGACAATCAGTGCCATCATCATTTTGAACAGTCTTCCATCGGAAGTCGCTCTGCACAATGTGCAAACCTGGACATTCTAATTTAACTTTGCGTTAAACAGCCCGGAGTTAGCCTAGCGACACATGATTCATTAACAAACCATTTGCTGCTGTAATGTGTGAGCTGGTCATGAGGACGGAGACCTGCAAAATCAAAACTCCACCAAACACTACAGAATTCAGAGTCTGTATTCACACACTAAGCCACACAGATTCTGGAGATTTAAACCATGCAAAAGCTCAGAAGAAGCAACTCAGGTTTTTGTCCCGCAAAGGAAGCAGGACACCTCGGATCTGAGAAAGCTGGCATGGCCCAGTCCAGCACACAAAACTCAGCATATCAGAGGGCCGCAAAGTCACAGAAAGACGACCAGAGTATAAAAGGGGACGGGGTGCCTTGACTGTCTGCTTACTCATTCGCTTTATATATTCAGCAGGATCAAGGATAAAATATTTTCTGGACTGGCCCACCTCAGGCTGCCAGTGGAAGGCTGCATATCGGAATACTTCCTTCATTAAAAAAGAAATTCCCTTTAATTAGAAAAAAAATAATAAAAACATACCAGGAGGCCAGGTCAGACTTTTTTGGTAATGAATCTGACACAGAAGAGGCATTCAAATATTCAACACCTCTCCATGCCCATCTCCAATGAAACTGTCTAGAAAAGGCAGACTTTTCAATTTTGCTGTATATATATATAAACGGGATCTGTAATAAATGGAATCGTAAGGGAGAGTGAAGGATTTTCTGGTACGTACTCAGTTACCTTTGTGAGGAATTTAAGATAATAAAACATCAAGGGAAGGTTTTCGTACTGTTTCCAGACAATCACTTACGTCAGGGGAACACATCAGAAGGGGAATCCGCAGCACGAACAATCAATCCAAGCTATCAGTCCAAGCTATGGTTATACAGTCAGATTTAAAACTTGGTTTTGCAAAGCAAAAGCGGATGTTATCAGTCTCAAAACACCCTGATTTGAACAGTGTTCTGGAAAGGGGATCCCTGCAGAATTTCAGATGCCACCTGAGCAATTGAGCCACGGGGGCAAGTCAGCGGTTTTCGGGTGAGTACGATGCAGATGCCGGCCAGTCGTACATATCTGGTAGAAAAGATTCATACTCGTAGCTCCAGATCTTTGATTGTATGTACTGGTTCTTGTCTGCAGGCTCAGGGTAATGGAATGCCATATGGTTGGCATACAGAAATTCCATAACCTGGAGAGAAGAAGAAGAAAAGGAAAGGTGACATCATCGCTCTACAGAACACTTTCCCAACCCGACACCATCTGGCTGTGTTGGACTACAGTTCCCATCACCAGTTGCCAGCCTAGCCAGGCTGGCTGGGGCTAATGGGAACTGCGATCCAAAATATCCAGGGGATGTCAGGCTGGGGGAAGCCACTCTGCAAAATTCACACGCAGGTCCTAAAAATGATGCCTGGGATTTGGTACCCAGAGGTTTACTCCCTTTGTACACGGAAGTCACTCATCACTGAGCCCTTGTTCAAACAACCAGGGAGGACCATCTCCTCGTCCCATGACAACATTTCTAATTATTATAATATCCGGACTGCATGGGGTTCTATTCCAGGATGCCCATCTCCTGGTACATGCACTTACTTTCACTGCAATGTTAACAGAAACCTCTCTGATGTTGGAGAGCGCAGGATAAAGTCTTCCTTCTGCAAGCTCTTCCTCACTCAGTTGTTCCATCAAAGTCTTTTAACACAAAGAAAGAGGGGAAGGAATATCAGACAGGTGGGATTAGACAAAACTGGTTAGCACTTGGATTACGGCACAGTGTCAGAAAACTAACAGCTGCTTTGCAGCTGTCTCTGAGAATAGCTCCACTCTGCAGAGGAACTTCACTGTGTTTATTTAATCCATTCTCCATCTCCATTCACCACTTCTCCCCTGAGACTTTCACAGATTTTAGTCATTTTGGGGTTCTGGACCAGGTCTAGAACCTAGAAATGTGCCCTGGAATGGGTTTAAGAAGCAGCTAGAGGAAAGTGTCAGAAGAAGCTCAAGAAGAGTATCACAACTCCCTCTCCTGGAAGTTTCTTTCCTGCAAATCACCCTTTCTTGAGAAATCTACTCTGGAATGAACACCTGACTAATTATGCCAAACAGCTAAACAATAGTTTACAGCAAAATAGTTTACTTTGCAGAGAGAAAATCTCTAACAAATCCCACAAGATTTCCACCAAATATGGGCCACACGTTTATTTTATTTTGGCCTGTGGCTGCCATCAGATCACATGCGGATGTAAGTCACAAACGCATCTGGGGAGGGGCGGGAATGACACCGTGCAATTGCCCACGACGTGACAGATGTTTCAGATGTCCACGTAATCACAGGTTAACTGCAGCAGCGTCACAAACCAAAGGATCGCATAAAAAGCCTTCTCAGTAACCTCACTGAACATTCTTCCCGAACCCTTTCGGTGTTTAAGACTGCAACTTGCATCAGCTCGGATTGGCCTGGTGTTGGATCACGGAGTAAAATGAATATTCTCACCTACAGGGGGCGCTGTGGCACTACGCCCACCTCTGTGCATCCACTTCATAGGGATACATAAGAAAACTGTTTCAGTTCTGTTGTCTAATCAGAATCTATCCAGTACACACCCTCCTGTTCAAACCCTCACTCTAATCCAATCTGCAGTCCGTCCATTTTTGAGCTTCCAATATTATTTGCAAACCTCAAGGTATGCATTTCACAACCTGTGTACGTTTGCAAAACATGCAGGAAAGATGTGTATTGCTGAAAAATGGACACACTCTTTCTACTTTAAAGTGTAACAATGCATAGATTTCAAAGATGTGCACAGATGTGGATACTGGAAATATGTATGGATTTTTGTAAAGAAAAATTCAAAGCTCATAATCTGACAGACTTGACCGGGAACAAGCTTTGAGGTGGAATTTGGGGAACTTTGGTGAGCTCAGGCTTGGCTAATTCATGCTTCCTTAATATATCACGTACAGATGCACACCTACATAGCAAAGGGAAGATTAAAATCTATCCTTAGCAGGTTTGCCTAACCGTTCCTGAACCAGCCAGTTTATTTGTTATAAATGGATAATTCTAATTAAGAACTAAGTCCTTTTCTTGCCTCTTCAACAATCAGAAAATAGAAGTCAGTTTGGTTCTTGCATTCTGTCTTTTTAATCTGAAATCATTCCACATAGGCAGAAACTCCAAATTGGTTACTGTTTCACCCACCAGCTCCTCACCCAGCACATTTACAGCCATTTATTTACCTTTGCCGCCTCCAAGAAGACTTTATCGCTAATGTGCCGAACGCCACTCAAAACAACAGCAAGAGCAACACCTATAATAAGGTTAGAAATCAGTTTGCAACATCCTTTAACTTACTGATTTAAAGGGTTTTTATTTTGCTGTTCATACAAAAGGTCACAGTAGTGTGTGCTGCTTTTGAAAATGCAACTCTGCCCAAGAATTAAACCAACAAGAAAATTAAACAACTCACTGCCTGGAGGTAAGAATGGGGTTTTCCTCAGCAGTGGAGAAAAGCAGACTTTCTCTACCACTGGCCATTGAAGCTGGCAGACCAGTTGGGAGAGGTTTTCCATCCCGGTTTAAAACCACCGGTTGAAAACCCAACCACCATGGCAGCAGCCAGCCATAAACAGCACGCAAGAACAGCCCTGCAGCTTCAGCCACATGCTCCATGCTGTCCAACAGTCTCTTTCCACAATGGCCAACCAGAGGCCTCTGGGCGCTCCCTCAACGGGGCACGATGGCAGCTGTTCCCCGAGGCCCCAGACTGGGGGAGTCTGCCATTACCTAGACAGGATGCTGCAGTGTGTCTCCCTGGTCTGTACAAACCATCGTAAGCAATAAAAAGTAGGACAGTGGCTATATACCAGTTCTCTAGTGCTGTGATACACCAACGATGTTGTTGGTTAGTTGCAGAGTTGTGTCCGACCCATCGCGACCTCGTGGACAACATTCCTCCAGGCTCTCCTGCCCTCCACCGTCCCTCGGAGTCACCCACGTCCACACCCGTTGCCCCAGTGGCTCCATCCAGCCGCCTCATCCTCTGCATACACCGGTGCATTTTTTCAACGTGTCCTTGCCAGTGTAATGCATTTCCGATGCAAGAGGGCCCTAGATTTGCACGTGCCACCATGGCTTCCAACCTCCTCATCTCAAAGCAGCAGCAGAGCGCATGGCCCTCCGGGTGCTGTCGGGTTCTAATTCTCACCAGCCCGAGCCAGCAAAGCCAGGGGAGGAGGATGCTGGGAGAGGTGGCTGAACAACACCAGACAGGTTGCTGGTTCCTGATTTTTGTCTTTATAAGAAAAAGAGCCGGGAAGTGCCCAGGCTGTAGGGGCTGGGCCCACGTCTCCCAAACTACAGCCTTCCAAGCTTGTCACGTCAGAATCTGAATCAGAAGGGGGAGGAAGAGGAGGCAGAGGCAGAATTCACAGCTGAAAGGCCAAGGCCATACGCCAAGAGGCTGGTGAGAGAGAGACCGAAGGAAGCACCCCTGCACAGGCGGAGCCAGAGGGGAGCAGATGCAGTACAGCCAGCCCGACAGTCCGGGGTCAGATCAAAAGATCAGACCAGCTGAGTGCCATCTGCCCCACAGGCAGCAGGAACCACCCTGAGGGTGGCGCTAGTGGAAGGGAGCAGGAGGACTCAGAAGCTGGAACCGACTTCTTACCACTAAGCCCCATTTCCCTAGTGTCTGGTATTCTAACTTCACAGGGCTCTTTTATCAATGACTTCTACAACACACCTAGCTGACCCGCTTTAACATATGAACGACTGCGGTTAGAAGCCCCTGGTCGGGAGCGACGTGGAGGGAGAAGGAGGGCTTTACCTGGAAATATGTAAGCGTTGTTCCCCTGGCCTGGTTTGAAAGATCGGCCATCGCTCAACTTCACTGGCTCAAAAGGACTTCCACTGGCAAAGAGACAACGCCCCTGCCACACACAAAAAGAGGAAATGATACTTCTGGAAGCCAGATTTGCAAATGTCCAGCCTGTCAGCAGTATCTCAAGTATGAGGAAAGCACAGAACAACATTCTGCAGCAAGCCTTTATATATCTGATTCTTTATATACTGGGCAGCCACTGTACTTTTTCCTACACCGAAATGATCCACACAAGGGCTCCAATAGGATCGTATTATAACCTGCATAAGAGCAGGACCTGCCCAACTGGTACATCTACTGGATAGCCATGTACTGGACGCATGCTCCCATAGAGCCTGCATGTGTGGAATTCTGCCTGTGTGTCAGTGGAGTCCTGCAAAGTGAGAGGCAGGGGGGATGCACCGTTCTGTCCGCTTGATCCACCCAGTATTCCTGGGGGGCAACTGGGACCTGTTTCCAACATGCACTGTCAGAGCTGGAACCGTTCCAGATGCTGTGGCTGTACAGGATGACACAGTCACACACAGAGCATTTTGTGTGCTGGAGAGCATTGGAAAACGCAACCCCCTGTTGTCCTGCAAACTGATTAGGTACAATCCAAGATGACTTTAGGATTTCAATGAAGGTGCGGCTCACTTTTAAGCAGGGAAACAAGATACTGATGATTAAAAAATCAAACCAAACCAAACCAAACACCACCCAAGGGATAAATGGGGTGCAACCAAACTTAAAGTTTTGGTTAATAATATTTATTTATCTCATGATCTTAGGGATGTGAAGGCTTGGGAAAAAAACCCTGAGAACTTTTGGGGAGGGGGGGGCTTCTTTGAAAAATACCTGGAAGAAAATAAGGTTTTTTCTAAATGTTTTATTCCGTCTCCTCTCCTTCCACCACCAGCCCGGACTTCACATTTCTACTTGCCCCTTTTCTGAGTCTTATAAGAACCTGGCAGGGCGCATCATTGCTATTGCAATCTGATCCCACAATGGCTAATTGTCTAACATTACGAACGAATTGCACTACCCAGTTCCATTCAACACATGGCTTTATGGGAAAAAGGGCACTGTGTTCATGCATGTTAGATATCAGGGTTTCTGGCCGCTCAGCCAAATGAGTCAAGCTGCATAGACCCAGGAAGAAAAGATATCATGACAAGTCTCATAAGAACTAGAGATGGAAGTCTCAAGGGTTAATTGGGTTGGCTGGACATTTGTTAATTCTCCTGATGGAGCCTCAGTTAAGCATTTGAGTGAGTTATTCTTAGGACTTCTCAAGGAAGGAGGTGAGTTTCTTCCCAAGGGTGACTGGACAGGTTTTATGGTCTTAACCTTTTAGGGCATGGGTCCTCAAACTACAGCCTGTGGGACGGATCCGACCTGTCATGTCCTTCCATCCGGCCCGCTCCACTGTCTGCCGCACACAGGATGCAGTGGCTTGCTCAGTGGGAGATGGTTTTGAACTTGCTGGGAGATCTCTGACTGAGCGAGTCACTGCCGCGCATGCCCAATGGCACCTTGCGCACACCTGACGACGCCTCACCTGCCCACGCACCCAGGCACCCCCCCCACCAGCCCGTGTGTGTAGCCGCCGCCTTTCAACTGGCCCCCTATTGAAACAGTTTGAGGACCCCTGTTTTAGGGCATGACTACCTGCAGCTGGGATGGAGGAATGTGGAAGGTGCCACATGAGATGTGGGCCAACCAGGACTGGCTGTTGGGAATCGCCCTGTGCCCAGAAGAGGAATAAAATAAGGGCCTTTTGTCTCTCTCTGAAAAGAAATTTGGCTGGAAACTTTCTGCCTGGTGGACCCTGCTGGACCTCTGCTCACAGGACATCCGTCGCTGAGATGAGGTAGAGTAAGGGCAGTTTTGCTGTCTTCTTTGCTGGGTGATGCATTGCCGAGTCACATACTCTTGAGAACTGGAGTTCTAATCCTTTTGAGTATTTTACCTTGGATTCTTGTATTGCCTTTTACCTTTTCCCCTTCCCTTTTCAATCCTAGCCCTCTGTCCCCTCCCCTTTTATAAATAAACTCTTTCCATCAGCCTAGTGAGGCCATTTCAGGGCATCAATGCAAAATCCAGTGCCCAGATCAGGACAGACTGCAGAATCAGACACAGAGATTTGCAGCCCTGACTGGGGCTGTGTGGGGCTGCCCAAGCCTTCCTTCCTGACGAGTGACATTCGGAAATCTTCATTTACCTCTGTCAACGTGTACGCATCCTCAGCGGTGCATTCTGCTTTTGCAGTTGGGTTACTCAGTGCGAATATTATCGGCCTCTGATTGATCGAGCCCATTGCTTTGATCACGTCGTGTGAAAAGAGGCGACCAGCCCCTGCAACTCCTGGAATTGGAAAGGTGCCAATCAAGCAAAAACCAGGGAGCAACCGCCTTTTAAAAGAGGAAAGTTCAATTTCTGGACAGCAGAGGCAAATGGAAATGCTTGCGTTTTAGCACAGAACTAGTATCTTTGGGCCTGGAATCCCACCGAGCTGGACACATAGCGTGGCCACTACAGAAACACCCAGGGATGTGTCAGCACATGCTTCTTTCACAGAACAACCTGCCAAGCTCATGTGTGCCTTGGAGCAGCAGAACAGGAATGCACCAAAAGCATCGTACGTGAGCGCACACGCGCAGAGGACGCATCTGCATGCAGCAAGACGTTCACTCATGTCACGTTCATGTAAGCACCCCTCGATGACACTGCCCTGCCAGCTCTGCTCTGGAGCTGCCTGGCCATTTGTTGCCACGCCCAGTTGCAAAGAGGTTGCTGCAGCCAACAAACCCCTTAGTTTCATCCAGCAAGCACTGGCTTTGCGATGGGGAAATGGGTCTGGCTCAGTGGGAAAGCAGTGCTTTGCATATTCTGCCACTCTGTACGACTCTGGTGCACCCGCAGATGGAGCATTGTGTTCAGTTCTGGGCCCCTCATTACAAGAGGGCTGCAGCAAGGTTGGAATCAGTGCAGCAAAGGGCCACTAGGACGGTGGCCGGTTTGCAGGGGAAGCCCTAGAAGGAGAGACTGAGGGAGCTGGGTCCTTTCAGCCTGAAGAAGAGACTCAGTGGGGATCTGTTGGCAACATACAGGTATGTGAGAGGGTGTCACACGGAGATGGGTAGAGGCCTGTTTTCCCCTTGGAGGAGGGCCAAACGTGTTCCAATGGAGCAAAGCTCAGGGATTCCAGGAATTACTTCCTGATAAGACCCCCAGGGTATGGAAGGCCTCCAGGGGAGGTGGTCGAAGCTCCATCGGTGAAGGTGTTCAAGGATAGGCTGGACATGCACATGGTGGGAATGTCATGACCGGAGCCAACTGAAGCCGGGGGTCAGACTAGATGGCCCAGGAGACCCCTTCTGATTTCTGTTTCTATGTTTCTACACAGAAGTTCCAAGTTTAATCCCCAGCACCTGCAAGTAGGGCTGGAAAAGTCCCTGCCAGAAACCCTGGAGAGCTTCTGTCAGTCCGTGTCACCAGTACAGGGCTGGATGCACCAAGGGTCTGTCCTCAGGTTAGTTTCCTGTGCCCCTAAGCGACAGAGCACTTTTTATGACTCCGCATGCCGAACCATCACCTCTGATCAGAGTATCTTAAATGCACTTTGCATTTCACCTCCAGCACAACTGCAGGTCACAATGCAGATCGCTCAGTAACAAGTCACAGAGGCTTGGTTTGCTTATGCATTTCCCTCGGCCTTTACGTTTGACGACCGGCAGCAGCACGGCTGGGCCATCCCAGCTGCCAAGTACAGATGAAGATGAGGCAATGCAGACGCCTCTGCTGGTAGTTTTACATTCATGCAGTCTCACGCCGCGTGCAGAAGAGTCTGGGGCAAAGCAGCATCAAGCGTTGCGCATGCTTGTGTGAATCTGCCCTTCAGCTACAGACGGCGGAGAAGGTGAAAGAGGTCTGCTTTAACAGGAATGGCCCTCTGCTGCTACATGCAACTCTGGGCATCCCCACAGAATTCACATTGACCCAAACCTGTTGGCGGTGCAGACAGACATGGATCGGTCACAGCTGAAGATGGAACTTTTGCCGATCTGATGCCCTGAGTTGTTGCTGTTGTTACATTCCATTTATGCCTCCCTTTTGCAAGGAACCCAAGCTGACTTACAAGTTTGCTTTCTCCCCATTTTAACCTCACATCTTTGTGAGGTTGCTTAGGCTGAGAGTTTGTGACTGTCCCAGTCACGCAGTGAGCTTGGCTGAGTAGGGAGTAGAGCCCAGCTCTCCCAGTTTGGTCCCCAGTCCAAGGCTCTAGCCACCATGGGACACAAAATTTACAAGCATGAGGTTTAACAAGCATAAGAGCTGCTCTGGGAAGCCGCTCCATGCATTTAAAATCAAAGCACCATCTGGTCTCGCAGCAGAACCACGTGCTTAATGACCAGAACACTCACCAATGATAGCAGAAGGCTGAAGCACATTCACCGCATCCAGGAAGGTCTTGGGTACCTGGCCAGGGGCTGGGTGAGTAAAGGGCTCTTGATTAATATCCACCGCTTGCTCCCGACCCTGAATATTTTGGAATAACACATCCTTGAGGATCAGAAAACAAAAAAGTGGAAAAGACTAGATTGTTCCCTGCCAAACTTCAGGTGGAAACTCACCTGGGCCAATAATCCAAATTTGTCAAACATCCATATTTTCTTATATGCTTCCTCTGTCGGAAGTCCACTTTCCACCATCGCCATGACAATGAGATTTGCAATTCCGAGAGCAGCCTGAAGGACAGGAGGAAAACGGGATAGATGCAGTTTTGCAGGGTGGTCAATCAGCAACTGCATAATCAATTCACCAAGTGCATTTCAAACAGAGTTCTGGAAAACTCAGGGTTCCTCCAATGGGAAGGGATATAAGGCCAGATAAGATTCCTGTAAAGATGCTAGCATCCCTGCAGAGTTAAGCCACAGTTCTGCCCTATACCCATTGCCTGCTCATCAGAGGATGTGGAAAGCAAAGAAAGAGAGCCTGTCAGCCCCACTGCTAAACCAAGCATGCCCTCTCTGCAACCAAACCCTCTGCAACCTACAAAGGTGCTTGGGAAAGACAGGTAAATGCAGGAAGTGTTCAATGAGGAAAAGCTCATTGGAAGATGCCTCCCACACCTCTGAGTCCTCCTCTGAGCCAGGATGGGGGCCCAGCACAGCAAGGCCAAGCTGCATGACACCTCAGATCTTCAGCATGCAAAACAGGTCCTCTCCCACCAAGCTGGGTCAGTTTTCTCTTAACAGACCAGAGGAAGGCTGCAAACAGGGCGACTTATTTTATATTGTTATTTTTTGCATTTTAACTTAATGTTTGTACTTTACAAACATTGGAGGGCCCTGAAAATCACCCCACACAGTGCACACATTTAAGCAGAAGCTTAATTTGTCTAATTTACCTTGGCGCTGCAGAGGCAGCTTTCTCTGGAGCAGAATTTGGATCACAGAGCTTTTCTTTTTAAAAGGCTGACAACCATACAAAACCAGCCCCCATGATGCAGCAGGGAACCCGTGCCACCCTTGATGGCATGTCTGATCATAACAAAGCAACACCAGGTACATCTCAGGTTGTTTTCTAATTTTAATAGCTGGGAGAGGGAGGTCCAGAGCTGTGCCCTTCTCCCAGCTGCACAACTCACCTCTCCCGCACCGAGGAACAAGATCTTGTGCTCCGTGAGAGGTTTACCCGTAACCTTCTGGGCCGCCAACAGCCCTGCCAGGGCCACAGCAGCTGTCCCTGTGAAGAGGACCAGAAACGCACTGAGTAGGGCGAAAACGGCAGGCACAAAAACACACAGGGAGCAAGTGGAATGCAAGACAGGTGCTAGAAACCCAAAGGGAATAATTCACCTTGTATATCGTCATTGAAAGTGCAGTATTTTTCTCTGTACTTCCTCAAAAAGCGGAACGCGTTATGGTTGCCAAAGTCTTCAAACTGAATGAGCGTGTTTTGGCCATACCTAGAGGACGCAACAAGAAAGCAAAGTGAATTTCCGTCCGCCGACAGACCCCCGTTTTCAATGGATCTGTTCCGATGCGTCGCACATGCAGCTGCAGCCCTGCCTGTGGAGCTGCGCCACTGACACAACAAATGTATCATGGGATGGGAAACACCCACTTGCCCCATCAACAGACCTCAATCATGCTCCTAACCGGGGAGCTGAAACAGTCTCTCAATCCTTTGTTTTGTCGTAAATTTATACCCGACCCATCATGACCCCATGGACAACATTCCTCCAGGCTCTCCTGTCCTCCACCACACCCTGGAGTCCACCCAAGTTCACACCCACTGCCCAGTGGCCCCATCCAGCCACCTCATCCTCTGCCGTCCCCTCCTTCTTTTGCCATCAATTGTTCCCAGCATCAGGGTCTTCTCCAGGGAGTCCTTCCTTCTCATTAGGTGGCCAAAGTATTTGAGCTTCATCTTCAGGATCTGGCCTTCTAAAGAACAGTCAGGGTTGATCTCCTCTAGGACTGACCGGTTTGACCGCCTTGCGCTCCAAGGGACTCGCGGGAGTCTTCACTGCACTTACGCAAGCCCCTTTGCCACGGCAAGGCAGTGATCCATGAAGGGGTCTCGATCCTTTAGCAGACTTTAACAGGCCTTTTCAGAACTCTTTCCAATTCTGAAATGTCCTTTCTTAGATCAAGAGATCAGAATCATGCCCAGTTTTCTAAGTGTGGTTGTACCATTGATTTGTATGATGTTGGCAGTTTGTTTTCAGCTCCTTTCCTAGATATCCCTAACATGGACTTTGCCTTTTTTGCAGAAGCCACACACACACAAACTCTTTCTTGGTCAGTCACAACCAGCTGAGGACCATCAGCTTATACTTGCTCCTACATATTGACTTCGAACCACATTTGCCATTTTGATGCTCATTCTCCCAGTCTGGAGAGATCCCTTTGGAGTTCCTGCAACCCTGTACTGCTTTAGCCATCCTATATAATTTGCTATCATCAGCAAACTCGGCCAATTCACTGCTCACCCCTAAGTCAACTACAGATAGCGCAAAAAGGTTTGGTCACAATACAGATCTCTGTGGGACATTACTCTTTACATCCCTCCATTGGGAGAATTTACCATATAACTACTCTCTGCTTGTCTGTTTTTTAATTAGTTATTAAATCATAAGTGGACCTCTCTCCTTACTTCATGACTGCTAAGTCGGCTTGGGCATCACTGGTGAGGAACTTTGTCAAAAGTCTTTTGGAAGTTCAACTAGATACTGTCTATCCAATCTCTACATGTTTTCTGACATTTACAAAGAATTTGAAAAGGTCAATGAGATTGTAAAGGGTTAGCCACTGGGATTTCTTGTTTTGGCTTCAGCTAATGACACGAGTTTACATTACTTAAAAAAATGTTTACCTGAAGTGTTTCCATAAGTAAACATAAGTTATACAAGTAATCCGCACTTCCTTCTCCTCACACGGATACTTAACTTGCTTTTGTGCTGACATTTTGTTACTGGGGGCTGAGACATGTTATCAGCACTCCTCATATTGTTATGGTGCAGTTGGAATGCAACTATCACTGTTTTGAATTTATACGCGCTTTTCTGAAGAATTTATTTATTTCCTTCACATGCCACCCAACTGGCGGATGCTGCCTTCGGGATGCTTTAGTGCCATGATTGTAATATTCTTAAGTCCAACATATTTATGAACTGAGCCCTCCTCCATCAGGAAATGTAACTTCAGGACTCATACGGATTCTTTGCACATTTGGGAAGGGGTGTAATCATTTCAGGATTTATACCTGCCTACAATGGCTTCCATGAACTCATCAATGAGGTCGTCATACAGCTGCGAACGGTCTCGTTTCTGGTACAGTCCCATGTAAAATGGGTCTTGCAGGAGTGTCTAAGAAAAGTGAATGGAAGTCATTAAATCAATATGCAATGCTACAAAAACCTACTTAACATTATAACTATGCTATAAATGATTGGGGCAATTCCCAAGAAACGCGAACATGTGCAGCCAATCAGCGTCTTAGCTGAATATTATGCACGAAATTAACTTTCAAAGAATAATAATCTAAGAAGCTTACAAGCGAAGGGTAGGTGCTGGGACTTTGCACCAAAGAGGGAAGAGAGTAAGGAATGGATCCGGTTACATCTGCACAGCCCGTTCAGTTGGAACAGGATCAAAAGATAATCAGAGAGCACAATTCCGCACCTGCTTAGCCCGAAAAGAAAGCCAACAACTCCCGACATGCCCCAGCCAGCCACTGAAACTTACCTGGTTGTCGGTGCCGACATCAATACACACAGGCAGGCACTTATCAGGATGTATTCCGGCACAGGCAGTGTACAAACAAAGTTTCCCAACCGGAATTCCCATTCCATACACACCCAGATCGCCCAGACCCAAGATTCGTTCTCCATCTGTGACGACGACAGCCTGAAAAATACAGGTGGAAATTTGACTTTCCTCAGAGACTTGCACCAAGGTTAAAGCACCACTACCACAAACATTTAAGATCTTTTTTCTCCTGGTACAAATAAAGAATTTATAGTATCCATGCCATTTTGAGCAAAAAAGCTATTCTTTTCTGAATTAAACTAAGGCTTGGCTGCATGAGCTATCTGGTGGTGGAATCACAACATATCTGCATGGCCTCATGATGAAACCTACCAGGGATAGTACCTTCCTAGAATTTGGGGTCTGGAATGGAGAATTCCTGCACAATATGACTTCATCCATACAGTGCATATAAAAACACAAGAACATCAGAAAAGCCCTGCTATCAGACCAGAGGTCTATCTAGGCCAGTATTCCATACACACCGCAAAGCAGCTGCCCATAGGATCCCTCCAGCAGGATGGGTGCAAGACCTCCTCCTGCCCAAGCTCATCAGCCAGTGATCCACGCAGGCAGCCCACCTCTGGTGAAGAAGGTAGCCCATAGCCCATAGCCAGCAAAGCCAGTAGCCACGGATAGCCCCCTCCCTCATAAATCTGTCCAATGCCTTTGGAAAGCCACCCAGATGGGTGTCCATTGCCACTTCCCACAGCAGTGAATTCCATAGTTTAAGTATACATTAAGTGAAGACGTACTTCCTTTTATCTGTCCTAAACCTCCCACCAACCAGCTTCATGGGGTGATCCCAAGCTCAAGTGTTATGGGAGATAGGGGAACTGTCTCCCTCTCCACTTTTGCCACACCATCCAGTATTTCCAACACCTCTATTGAGTCTCCTCTTCCTCTCCTTTGTTCTAAGCTGAACGGTTCCAGTTGTTGTGGGTGCACCTCAGACGGGAGCTGCTCCGTCCCAGATGGTTTGTCCACCTAAAAGATCTCCAAAACAGTTGCTAACTGCTTCAAGGAGATCCTAACCAAGATTAGTTGGGAATTTTGTGGTATGAGGTGAAAGGACAGACTTCAGAAGGCATGCATGGTCTTTGTAGGGCACAAACCCCAAAATGCTAAAATACGTCACGAATTTATCCATCTATTATCTACCCTGAAGAAACAAGGCTGCCATTACAGAAAATATACAGATGAATGAGGAAGAGTAGTTTGGCTTTTGGGTGCTACAGGAATGAAGGAATTAGAGAGATCGTTACCTTTACATCATTTTCTGGCCAGTTGTTCACAATTGATCTAATATGACCCCTATCTGTAATGGCAATGAACAATCCCCTGCAAAAAAAAAAAAAAAAGGTCAAAACAGAAATACATTCACCCCTGAAACTTTTAAACTACTTCTCTGATTTGCAAAGGACTGCTTGGCACAAAGCATCTCTATCTTAAATTATTTATTTAATCATTAAAAGCAGTACCTTAAAAAGCCACAAGTAACATGACATAGGATGTCTAAAAGATTCTGTTATTTAAAGTTTCTGGAGCTGAGAAAACCAAAATTAATCAAATTTTAATATTCATACAAGCGTCACTCTGCCCCATGAAATAAAGGTTGAACCTATCCGATAAACCAGGAACAACAGCGCCCAAGGTGTAGAACAAAGATCATTGAACAAAGAGATCATAAAACAAAGAGGAGAAGGAAGAAAAAGGCTGCTATGTGAACAGGAATGCACAGTGGAACAAAATGCCAGGGAAGGGGTAGATTTTTTAATTGTCAACTAATTATCAAATGAAAAACAATGCAAAAGCATCAACATTTTAATGTTGTAGGATTCTAACTTATTAAATTATCTGTACTGCAGTTATAATACATATTAACTAGCTGTTTACCACTGCCGCAATTCTCTCGGTTGGCTTGTTTGCATACAAATTGTATGAGCAATCAGATGTCTCAAAAAACAATATGGAAATACTTTATCATCTGTGAGGGAAGGGAAAATGGTCAGTTTGGTGTGGTTGTAATCCCCACTCTGGATCCTAAGAATAGGAGGAAATTGGTGGGGCAGGCTGAGGAATGAAAACGTCTTTCCTACTGGTGGAAAATTTATTTATTTATTTAACTGATATACTGCAACCTATAGCCCAAGTCAGGGCTCTCCAATACATTAAAAATCAATAATACAAAAAGTCCATAAAATACAACAATATTACAGTAGGAATAAGTATAGCAGTTTAAACTCAATTAAAGTCCATAAGAATATAAACAATATAAAACAGCCTTCCCCAACCTGGTAGCCTTCAGAGGCATTTGGACTGCAACTCCCAGAATTCCCATCCAGCAGGGCCACTGACTGGGAATTCTGGATGTTGTGGTCCAAATGTGTCTAGAGGGCACAAGGTTGGAGAAGGCTGAAATAAAATATATTCAAATTTGTTAATTGTTAAAATACCTAGAAAATAGGACAGTAATGAGTGTGCCAGGTGAACTTCTTTGGGGAGCCCGATCCAAAGGGGTGGCACAACCATGAAGAAGGTCCTTGTGGTATTTGTCAGTAAATATGGGAAAAGACAATCCTTCAGGTATCCCCGTCCCAAGCCTCTTAGGGGTTTTGTATGTGAGAACAAGACTTTTAAACTGGTCCTGGACCTCAACTGGTAGTCAATGTAGATAATACAGAAGTGGCATAATGTGGGTGTGTGGGCTAAATTTTGTCAGCATCCATCTAGCACTATTTTGTACCAGTTGAAGTGTCTGGGCCAACTTCAAAGAGTGTTAAAATAAGTACTTTTTCATATTGCATATTGTAACATAAGCAGAAACTAAAAATGAAAAGAAGAGGGCAACAGCTTCTTTCCCTTCAAGTTTCCAGACTGAGGCAGCTGCAATTCTAATGTTTCACAGATATATGCACAGAAATATCTTATAAGGCTGTCCTTACTTTGGCCTCCTAAAGATATGTCCATACTGGGAACACGCTAGTCCCACCGTCGGTGTATAGACAATTGGCATTAACCGCTCAATGTCATCTCGCAAAACTCTGTAGAATAACTTCTCGTTTCTCTCCTGCATCCCCATTACATAGATGTATCTGTTAACAAAGCAGCAGAGAAGCAATATTGGTTTGAGACATACACTTGCCTGCTACTGGAAAAAACTTCTAAAGATGAACTAAAAGAGTAAACATTACTTTTCTTCATAGCTTATTTTATTGGTGCCCTTCCTTTTCACCAACACGATGGAGCTCAAGGCAGTCAACAATCACAGGAAGTAAAGCATTACAAATTGCATCATCAATACAGATAAAACCAGGGCTTTTTTTGTCATAGAACGCACCGGAACGGTGTTCCGGCATCTTTTTTTTTTTACGGGCATAGTAGGTTCATTAACATAGTGCCTGCGGGCTGCTTGTGTGTCGGCGATCATTGTGACGGCGCCGCTCGGCTTGGGACGCTGCTTGGCTGAGTGCTTACTGCCGGCGGCGACCATTATGTTTATGTGTGTGTAGAGTGACTGACCCCAAGAGGTGAGTTCCGGCACCATTTTTTTTTTTTTTACAAAAAAATCACTGGATAAAACAATAATAAAACAAATATATTGAAAGCTGGAAAAGTTCCCCTGTGTGGTCTGCTTCCTAAGGGTCAAACTACAAGTTACACTCAGCTGAGCATCTATTCTTTAACACTCTCTTTTCCTAATTTTCTGCAGAATTTCAGCAGAGGGATAGCCAAAGATGGGCAGAGAAGATTAAAAAGCTGCTTCTCCTCTGCCTTTTAGCAATTAATGTTTGCTCAAAAGCCTAATGCTGCTTTTGACTTCCCTGAGGAAAAGATATAAGCACTCCTGCACACAGAAAAGTGGCTCTTGGAAGAGGAGGAAGTAGATTTTGAGCAGGAAATTGACAAAAAGAAAGAATTAAGTAATCTCTTTCTCTTCTCTCACTTCCTTCAGTCACTTCAGGGAAAACTGCAGCCTTAGAAGCCCCTTTCAGTCAAAGCAGGGGTGCAGAACTTCAAGGGCCAAATACAATGGTGAAGAATCTCTTGGGGCCATGTGCTAGTGGTGGGAAGGACAGAGGGCAAAACTAGGCGGGCCAACAAATGCCAGCAGATTTTGGTTTCAAGCTTTCACTAGCAGTAACTAAACCTTAGCAGGAGATTCATAGATCCCCAGTATAGTAGAGTTGGAAGGTCCAGAGAGCCATAAGGTCCAACCCCCTGCTAAGTGCAGGACTTTCCATGTTTAAAATGGGGGAAATGATCAGGGCAGGTGCAAATTCTCCTGCGGCCTGACCTGGGAAGGCGCATGTGCTCCTCTCCACCGTTATCTGCTTCCACTGCCGCCCACGCCTCCCCACCTACTGCATTGTTACCCCGACCTCCTCTGCAGGGTGGCCAAGCTCTCTGAAATCCACGTCAGGTGGAAAGGCTCTTCAGAGAGGCCACCAGACCCAACCTCCTGGCTCTGAAGGATCTTTCTCAGAGCAAGGCGTTGTGGGAGGGGTGTCTCTGGAGACTGCGACGCTAAGGGCAAGTTCCAAGGATGCTCTTCCTCCCACAATGCCTGAATTTATGGAAAGAACGACCCTTCAGAGCCAGGAGTCTGGGAAGGGCCACCTCTCCAAAGTGTTGCCCCAACTACTTTTCTGGCTGATGCAGCTCTTCCAAGAGCTCGGCTGGCTGCAGTAAGAGCAACTGCCGAGTGGGAAGCAGCCATGGAATGGGCAGGTCATAAGGAGCGATGGGAGACACAGCCGTGGCCGAGGGAGGGAGCACCGTGGTGGCACATCCTCCCGCCAGAGAGAGGGAGCCTGCAATCTGTTGCTTCTCCTGCCTGAAGCAGGGGATTCGGCCTGCCTCAAAAGAGGGCCAGCCCTAACCAAACTGCAAAAGCAGGGAAACTTCCAAACACTCAACTATCAGGGGAGAACGCTGGAAACAGGACGTGGGCATGGCCACCGGGAGAGCGCAGGGACCTGATTTGGCCCTCAGTTGGGTGGATCTGGCTTGTCAGCCCTGAATAAAGGAAGACAATGTCAAGAGAGATAAAAATGTCATGCATATCATAGCTCATTTGGTCATCTTGTCTGGCCTTTAGTTAGAATGATGCCACAATAATTGGGAGCAGGGAAACAAAGCAAAGGTGACTGGAACAGCAAAGGTCTTGTCTTAGGGGTTGTAGGGATTGTTCCTTAGCCAGGTAAACTTTGGGTGAAGCAGGGCTGGGTGGACAGTTGTGTCCCTCCCAGCTACTTTCACCAACTGCTCCTTTAATGGATGGAAAGATGGATAAAATAGGCAAGGATGACTTTTTTGTTTTAAAGCCGCCTACTGGCTTTAAAAGAAATCTAATTAATGCATTAAAATCCAACAGAGAGTTTGACCATCAGTTTGCTGTAGTCTATTCACCAATGCTCCTTTTCTAGTTGGGTGTTTATAGTGGCAGGATATGGTATTGAAGGGGTAGTTCTCTCAGACTCTTCTGAGCCTTTAAATATTGACATATTTGGAGAATGAAAAATAGAAAGCACTGAGAAACTCAAGCAGAAATACATGATGTGCCAAGCTATGACTATGAGCCAATTAAAGTAAAGCCACAGATGCCAAGATCAGCATGTCTCATAATACAGATATTTGGAACTTGTCCATCCTGATGGTTCCTGTAGAATGAGGAAAGTGCAACGAACTACTTTTAAAACAGAATCCACATTTTAATTGCTATATTCCATATGATAGCTATGCAGATGGCAAAAGGTATGCAGTTTTATTGCATTTAAATGTCAGTTGTGAAAGCAACCTTGAACTGCAGCCTGAACACAATGTACTTACTTGGAAGTAAGCCCTTTGCACTCAATGGAAATTGCTCCCAAGATAGTAGCATTCGATTGAGCTGTACAAATTGGCTTATGGGGACGAGGGTAAAATGGATAAATCAGTTTAGTCCCTGGGTGCCCGAGTTTGATATGAGGCTCCCTTGATAGTTAACCCCTTAGGCGGAACATTGCTTTATGGGTAAATCATCTGTAGGTTGTAGACTGCATCCAAGCAATTATTTATTAATGTTTAAGTCTCTAATTATCCTTAACTTTGCAAGAGAAAAGGAAACCGAAACAATGAGACGGAAGGCTGCTATGACTTCACAAGAACCAGAGCAACAAAGAACTTGCTGGGAATGTTTGGAAAACAAGACCAAGTTCAAAGATTTATGGCTTCCACCATCTAGAGTTAAAGACAGCCAAACAGCAAGGAGAATGGATGTACTTAGCAGGAGCTGCTTCTGTGGAACCTCATATCCTGTATCATTTCATATCCACTTTCCTAAGAAAAATGCACTGAAAACTGAATATTTTTCCCATGGATTTTGGGCATCCTGTATTGGTCCACCCTGACAAGTTGCCAAATTACAACTGGAATTGTATCCCATCCAAATTTGGAGAATGCATGAAAAAACATTAAGCGCCAGCCAACGCACTCTTACTTTTCCAAAGGGTCGGTCATTTTTGCCACGTTCCTATGAAAACGTAAGGCTTGGATGTCTTGCGTCTCTATCTTTGGAGGTAGAAGACCCTGGAGGCCGAGCATTTGTCGTTCTTTTAACGTAAATGCCATGCCCTGGACACAGACAGGAAGAGAACAAGTTAAAAAAACATTCAGGCAGTTCAGGCCAAATTGTCTTAGCTGCACACGGCTGCCCCCAAGTGTGTGTTCACTTTGCTTGTTTCATCCTCTGATCCAATCTATACCACCCTTTCTCAGTGCTTATACAAACAGGTGAGGAGGCAGCAACGGCAGAGAGGAAACGCAGCACCAGGACAATCCAGAGATCAGCAGTGAGAAACACACGGTGACAGGGGCCTTGCGATTTGCCAACAATTCCAGCCCTGCATTAAAGCTCAATTTTGATGTTTCTGAACTTTAGCTAACAGTTGGGAACAAAAGCCTTTCCAAGTTTGGTTCCAGAGATCAGCACACAAACCTTTTAAGGGACTGAGCTTGGGTGGAACAGCAAGAGGATCTGTTATCACCTACTGTAGATCACTCACTGGCAAACATCTTAAGTTGTGGCTCAGCACAACACCATTTTCTGGCCACGTCCCCAGTGGCAGTGCATGAAATACCCATTTCTGTAGATAAATTCAGCAGCCTACAAAACCCTGAGGCTAGACTGCTGCATTAATGTCTCTATGTGAGGCTGTCTGCACTGATTGCTTGCAAGATCCAGTGGGGACAGATAGTAAGGCAAGAGTTACTGCAAGCACCAAGATCTGCTCTGGACCTCTCAGCTGCCTTGCAGATAGAATGCCTGGGAGTCTGACTTCTCCTCGCTCACAGCCCCATGGATTTCAATGAGCATTCAGAGCAAGTACATCAAGCACAGATCTGGGATATGGATTCAGAAAACTGCACAAGGCTCTTTCTTTGAGCAACCTTTTGAGAACTGATCCATCATTCCTTTTAATGGCTCTCTGTGGCGTAACCAGCTTTAACGTTATGGTTGCTTATTGGATAGAGGTTTTTTTTTAAATCAAATTTTATTATTTTCTCTATAAATCCAAAACTAAAACAGCAATTGATCAGAACATCGGACATACTGGGTTGACATCTCACTCCTTTTTACATTCAACAACCATATTCGATTCGACACATAGTCCCGTTTCTCCAAACGCTTACTGGATAGAGTTGACATGATTTTCTGATCTGGCTATGGCAGTGTTTCAAATCACGTTGTTAGTCACCTTGCGTAGAGGCAAATCAGCAGTATTGCTTGTGGTACTGGCTAACGCAGGCAAAGACTGGCCAAAGTTGCTTATTACCCACAATGGAGTCCTAGAACCATCAGTTTCTTTAATATCCAAAGAGAATTTCAGGGTTTCTTCACTGAGTTAGCAAGTGGCGTCTCCTTTGCCATGCTGGAAAGGTGCAGGCCTGGTGCCAGATGGGTGACCAGGTGTGAGAATGGAGCAAGAGGTTGGCCTCAATGGCCTTCTAGGCCCCTTCCAACTCTACCACTATTCCATTCTAAATGTTTGCATATTCATTGTAACAGACATTAAAGACTGGAATGACAACAATATCATGGTACATCAATATTTAAATTAAATCTTGAAACTCTCAGTTCCTGCCCAGCAATTCTTATACAGGCTGTTTTGCTTGTCCTTCCAGGTTTGGATTTCAGTGAGCTGGACATCTTTTTCGTTAACTGCGCTTATAAACTCCTTCCACTGAGCCTGACAGGGGGAGGAGAAAGAATAAAGCTTCAGGGCTGCTGTGAAGCAGCACCGTCTTTCTAACAGAAAGTGGAGATCAATTGCTTTAATCTCTGTTCAGTCTCTTTAGAGATTCAAGTCTCCTCAGAAGCTTTCCATTTTTAGAAGATTTAACCTTCAAGGTCCCAGTGGCTCTGGGGACACGGGCTTCAGGAAACAGACATTCAGATAATGTTACTGGAAGGGACGGGCATCTGTGAGAGACGAGCTACATAGCCCTGTTTTGAACGTCCCCAACCATACTGGCCGTGGAATTCTGGGAGTTGTAGTCTAACACAACTGGAAGAGTCCTGGTTGGGGAAGGATGCCCCACGTAAGCACTTTTATTTACAGGAGGCAGCCATCCACCCCCATCTCTCAGCCTCTTCCGCTCCCGATTGTGCCAGCCATCTGCCCTGACTTTCACTTCGCCTCCATAATCTTCTTATGACTCCACTTGAGGAAAAACAAGTGGCTGACTGAGCAAAAAACCGGATGGTGACCTTGAGGTGCGCGGCGGCTGAACCTGTGGCACGCAGAGCTGCTGCTTATCAAAGCACTGCTCAGATTCTGAATGGAAGGTGTCCCTGCACCTGTAGCCTGCTTAAGCCCTAGGGCACACTTACTCATTCAAACGTCCAGGTGAGACTGACCTTGTTCGTTCGAGGGTTCAGCATCAAGAGCTTCCCTTTTTCTTTTGTATGTACACCACGGCATGCCAATATGCACGGAGAGGCGGCTGTTCTTAATCGAGAAAACATTTTGAATAGTTTACCTTAAAGAAAAGGAAAAAGGGGAAAAGGTAGGTGGGAAAAAGGGTCACATTACATATGAGTAAGGTTCTCTTCTCATTCTGCAGATCCATACGGGGCAGCAAGATTTCTCATTCTGGTTTAGTACTATAAAGACTTTCAAAAACCCTTATACTACAAAGAAAGCATGAACAATTCTCGGAAGAACATGAATGACTCATGCTTTCTAATTTTTATTATATTTGCTTATCATTATATTTCTGGCCTGTCTTTTCCTTCATGCAAGGTGGTTTACATAGTCCTGTGCCTCTCCATTTGATCCTCACAACAGCCCTGCAAGGTAGATTAGGCAGGGAGTCCATGACTAGCTCAAAATTGCACAGTGAGCTTCTTGGCCAAGTGGGAACCAGAACCTAAATCCCTCCAGTCTGAGTCCTCTGGCTGTACTCCTTCACTTCTTGGTATTTGTCCCTGAAAGACCAAGGTTAGTAGCAGCAGCTGATATCCATGAGTAGCTGGCTCCGTGTAGGACTCTAGCATTTTGCATATCCCACAATGCCCTCGGGCAGTGATGGCGAACCTTTTAGAGACCGAGTGCCCAAACTGCAACCCAAAACCCACTTGTTTATCGCAAAGTGCCAACACTGCAATAAAACCTGAATACTGAGGTTTTAGAATAGAAAAAACAACTCACAGCCAGTCTAAGAAAATATGTACATATCCTTGACAGCACACTGATTGGCCATGCAAAATCTCACATGAGTCACGGCTAATGAGTCGCAGCTCGTGATGTCATCATCTGGTGTCGCTACTCCTTTCCGAGCATGCGCATGTGCACTGTTATCTGATGCTCGGATGCTGGGGTGATGCTGGCATGACTTGACTTGCATGCCAACAGAAGGGGCTCTGCATGCAGCAAAGCTCAGGGAACCAATGGAGCAAAGCTCAGGGTCCCATTGAGATGCCAGGAAGCACTTCCTGACAGTCAGGACCTCGAGAGTGTGGAATGGGCTTTCATGGGAGGTGGTTGAGGCCCCATCGATGCGGGTATTCAAGGATAGGCTGGACGTCCACATGGTGGGCATGTCGTGAGTGGAGGCCGGCTGGTGCCGGAGGTCAGACTAGATGGCTCGGGAGGCCCCTTCTGACTTGCTCTGTTCTCTATGTTTCTATGTCCGCTGCAGCACGTGTGCCATAGGTTCGCCACCACTGCCCTAGGGCATCCTGGGTGCATTGTGGGAAATTTAAAATGGCAGCTGGGGGTCCTCTGATGGAGAAGAAAGTCCACCTCACCAAGGTCCCTCTCAATCTGGGAGCCAGCCCAGGCCAAGATAGACTCAAAGTCAGCTTAGACTCTCACCTAGCTGAGAATTAAAGAATCGTTCTGATTAATGGGTGGGATAGAAATTTAACAAACAAACTCCTCTGCCTGAAGAGCAGAGATATGAATGTTGTATTCACAGGAATGTACGCAAGTGGACTTGTATCTGGATTGTGCAGATCAGACCTATGTGTAAATAGGACAATACGTGGAGGACCCCTCCGTGATGTGATGCTTTGCTATCTGTCCATTTTATCCGCTATCTGTCTGTGATGGGTCAGACATGACTTTGTAACTAAACAAACGAACAATTTTATAGCATTTAAGGTTCCTACATTGACAGTATCAAATTCCAAAGGCATCTCTTACCAAGAAACAAATGTAAAGCACAAAGACTTTGAACTACCTCTGAAACAAGAAAAACACATAGCCTGCAACATAGCAAACAATCATCAAAACCGAAAAGCACTAATACCTGAGCTAAGAAAACACCTTTACCAAAGAAGAGAAGAGGCCGGTTTGGACCAACCCCGGCGTGAACGACTTCGGTGAGCCTTCCTAGAGAGGAAGTTCAAGGGGACGGGGGCCACGCTGAAGGAAGCCCTGCTCCTTGTGACAGGCACCTGAGCTGGGACAAAAAGGATGCACAGGAGTGGCCCTTCCTTTATTCATGTGTTTACTGGATTTATATCTTAACCTTCTCCCCAAAATGGCGGCCAAGCAGGCTTAGCCCACATAGCTGTAGGCCTCGGGACAAGCATGGCTCTCTTCCTGGAGAGGTCCTTCTGCTCCGTGTCCTCTGCACACGATAGAGAAGTAAGAGGTGAAGGTGCCGCTCATTTTACTCCCAAAGGAGCAGACAAGCACACCGACCTCCAATGCAAGTCTTCAGGGCAACCTTTATTTATTTGTTTGTTTGTTTGTTTGTTTGTTTATATTGCGATTTATAGCCTGCCTTTTTCCTACAAAGGGCTCAACGCAGCTTATATCATCTCTCCTCCTCCATCTTATTCCCACAACAACCCTGTGAGGTAGGCTGGGCTGAGAGTCTGTGACTGGCCCAAAGTCACCCAGTTGGCTCCATGGCTGAGTGGGGACTTGAACTCAGATCCTCTGAGTCCCAGTCCCGTGCTTTTAACCACTACACCACACTGGCTCTTAAGTGTCAACCTTAAGTGGCCTCCAGTGGCACTTCCGCACATTATCTCCCTGCTTGTTTCCACTCAAGAAACTCAGGGATGAAATGACATTTACTGAACTGAAAATGCAGGTGTACACGCTGACCAACTTCGCAAAGTCAATGAAATTACCCGTGATGCAGGCTGCCTTTAGAATGCAGTGTTCCTTGGTTCAGGTTACTAATTAACAATGAAACTCCTAGACGTTATATTATGTTAATCAATTATGAGCTCGTGAGGTAGGAGAGCAGTTCTAACGTATTGCTTTGAAATCCAATTCTGTGGTCTCTATAATACACAGCAAAAAAATACTGCCATAAATCAGCTCTTCTGTCCATCACCAAGGATTTACAAAGACCTCTGAAGGTCCTTCGGAAAGTTCTGACAGGAATGTGGGAAACAATTGTGCCTGGGTTTTTATTTTTAGCCCTCGTGCATTCACTGCTCTTGGCTGGCCCGGTTTAATTTGCAGGATGGGGGTGGAGGCAAAATCAGCCTTTCTTTCGAGGTTCTGAATTCAGAATCTCCTGTACCAACTGCCTGCTCTCTCGGCACTTTCAAATCCAATCAAGAGGGAGAAAATAGCTTTAGTCTGAATCATGCAAGGTTTTTTTTTGGGGGGGGGGTGGATCCCAGACACAATTATTTATTCACTGCTTGGCAACACAAGCAATGGAAACTTTGTTGGTATTAGAAACACAAGCTGCTTTGCACAGAGCGATCTGGGAGCAAATCAAGAGACTGTGGACAAAAACCAGCTGGCTTGCTAAAATCAAGTGGTTCAGAAAGAATTAACAAGTACAGATAGTACAGACTTTATAGCCAAGAACAGCATTCAGTTCCCTCTGGAACAAATATATCATTGGCAGGTAAAGAGTTCAGGCAGGTCCGGATTCAGACAAGGTTCAATTATTTCTTTTAGCACTTGTCGAAGGAGTAAGTGGACAATCTTATGAGAATTTAGGCAGAGAAAATAGCCACCACTTCCCATACAACCCAGCCATAGCAGGCTGGTGCATGTGGCTTAATGAAAGGGTTGGTTGTTTGGGGTTTTTTTTTTTTTGCCTAATGTTGTGAAAGATTTTACCTTAAAAGACTTGAAATACAGTTTGCTGCTTTGCTTTTAACAGACTGGTGAATTACCAAGTAATATATTGCAAAACCTCCATAAAATGGGCTTTCTTCTAATAATAAGAGATTTTTCAGGGCTGAAAAGCAACCCTGAAGAAATTTATCAACTGGTTTATTGCTGGGAAAGAGGGTACACTTAAGAAATTGAAATCATGCAGCACAAGCCATGCAGGTTTTTAGATCCCAATATGAACACCATCATCAACTTATTTGGCTTTATGTTACTGCCTGACATGATTAGAGAAGGTTAAGCATCTTCAAAGATATTTAGCCAAGAGATACACACTCCTTCCAATGAATTATTAACTGAGGAACAGGATTGCTCTTCTGTGGCATGGAGCAGGGAACAAAGGAAGTGAGATCCAAGAAGCAGAGCGCCCCAGGAAAAACAAGTGAGCTTTATTATTCTCTCTCCAACTTAATCTTCAGCTCACCATTGATTGCTGGATTCCATTTCAACCCTCATGAGGTTTGCCATTTTGCTATCCTCCAAATTCTTTTAAAGTCTCTTCTTCCCCAGCATGCACAATGCAACCTAATCTTCGAGTTAAATTGTTAATCTGCTTTTCTGGGGACTTTGCTTAGGATCCAAACATTTTTATCGGTCCCTCCATTTCACAGCAGCAGCAGGTAATCTGGTGTTCTTCTGGTGTTACACGTTACAGTTCTCATCAGTCTTAGCCAGGACAGCCAAAAGTCAGGAATTATGGAAGCTGCCATCAAAAGCATTTGTTGGACACCAGAGACAATGCCCCATGTGTCACTCCCCTCGTGTAAATGACATTGTGCTAGCAGAAACCAGCTTCCCAGCCACATGCAAGGGGAGAATTCAACTGAAGATCTCCCTGTTCAGTCCCTCGCAAGAGCAAATGTGTGAAGGAGGAAAAAGTATCTCCAGTGGACAGAAGATGCCACCACTCCTGGCTGCACTCACCCAATCCACCACCACAGGCAGCCCACCGAGACCAAATGCTTGCTCCCCAGAGGTGGTATTCGTGCTACAATTTCGGGAAGCTGCACCTACATCAATGATCAATATGTAGTTGTATGTAGCCCTCTGGGGAGCCTCCAGCCTGTAGGAGGTTCTGAATGCCTTACGCCACACAACAACTAAGCTTAAAAAATAAACCCACTAGTGCCAAGGAAAAGCCTAGCTGATGCACTGGGGAGGGCATTCTTTTGCGGGGAGAGGTGCTGCTGGGAAGGGCATGACTAGGTCAGTCCACCCACACACTAGCTTTCCTACCCATCACTTCTTCCAGCTCCGGAGAGCAGATGCCGCTCTGGAGAAGCAAGCCTGCAAACACAGAGATGCCGGAACATCACAATGGCAGCTGCCGAAAGCCTCATGGGGCAGAATGGGTTTTTTCCATCATGCCTCTTTTCTTTAATA